GTATAGGCCTATATATGTATATCCAAGTAATAATAGCATTGTTGTAATAATACTTTCGACTATAAGTCATTATTAGGTATATATAATAGGCTTATATACTGCAAAGATAGGTCAAAGGTCAATAAAACAGTTTCTGGTTGATATTGAGAAATTATTCTGTTAGAGTATAAATGTGCATATTGTAAATATTTTGTTACAAAAAGCAACTCTGTACGATCAGTGGTTGCCAAGATATTAAATTTACGCAAAGTTGAGGTCGAAGGTCAAAAACACAATTTCCGGTCATTTCTAGAGAAAATTGTCCATTATAATAAATATAAATATGCATGTTTTAACATTTTGCTGCAAAAAACAACTCTATACGAGCAGTGGTTTTCTAGATATACAGTAACTTCCTATATTTCCACCCCTAATTTGCATATTTATGCTAATAAGGTCGGCCAAATGGCATTTCCGGTCATTTTTGAAGAAAATGTTTCATTAGGGTAAATAGAAACATGCATGTTCTGAACAACTTTAAGAAAGAATCAACTTTCTACAACAAGTGGTTACCAAGATATAAGTACCCTACATTTTCAGAACTAATTTGTATATTTTAACTAATTTGCTAATGAAGATATGCGTACAAAAATTGGCGACTCATTTTATTGGATTCAGCATACTTCAAAGTATATATTCCATCCAAAAAACTAAAATGATCACAACACTGACTTTGAAAGTCTTAAGTAAAGCCTATTTAGGTTTGACATGTATGTGTTTTATGTTGTTTGTTGAATGTTGTTAGTTTTAATAATATTACAGACAAAAATTTATATTCTGACCACAAATTGGTCATTGTCATATTGCAACTTATTCTTGAAACTGAAAGAACAATGCATTCTTTTTTCAATTTTTCAATTGTACTCTGATTAAAAACAAACTTGGTATTATGTCTTTCCATCAGCTAGGAAATTAATTAAATATGCACCATTGTCTTCTGTGATTGGTTGATTGCTTGCTTTTCAATGCTTGGTGGATATAATGCACTCTTCCAGATTTTTTTTGCTTATGTGGATGGATATAATGCGTAACTCTCATATTAATTTCATTTTTCTAAACATTTCTTGGGGTATATGATCAGTTCCCATGATAGATTACATCCACAGGATGCCCCTAAGCCAAAAATCTATAAAATTTAAAAAATGGATATAATGGTTTTTCCGAATCACGACAGTACTGAAGAAATTGGTTATGCATTGAGATCTTAGGCTTTGAAATGAGCTTAATTATAATATATATTACCCCAATCTTCAGATGGGACGTCAAGTCCCGTTGTGTACATAATAATACGTGAGCACAAAACGACCTCAGTACACCTGATGACATTAAACACAACTGTAAATCCCATTTTCCTCCTATTTGAGCCTGATCAGTGTTTGTTTGCAATAGTGACCAGCTGATTTAAGATTCAGTTGGATTTCAATCGTTGTGCCTCTGTTTGAAATCATCGCAAAGACTCAGCTTTCGCTTTGCAATTGCCATATTCACGTTGACACAAAGTGTCCTGGCTTCGTTGAAGTGTTGTTGGAGGTTAAATCAATAGCTCATAATTAGGTTTGCTCTTCTGGCTTTCCATAGATGCATTGATGCTGGCTGATTAACAGCCTATTACAGGCAAAATCAAACACCTACAAAAGAACAAAGAATTTTTTTTTATTACTGATACCATGATTACACAAACACATGGGTATTTAAACATTATATTAGGGCTCGTTAATAATCGTTTATTGTTTTTCAAGGTAAAACATTAATATATCTGTTTATTTACCTTTTTTTAAATTAAGACAGTATGATACTGGTCTGGTATGTAGCCATCTAACGTAGATACATCTTTATCAGGGGTTATTAGGTTCACCAAACACATCGTTCTATCTAATGAACTGCATTTCTCACACACAGGTCCACAGATGTAATGTTCCTTAAAATAGTCCGGGTTAAAATCTGAATTGATAATCTCTTCAACAAACATAATCATTTTCTGTATAACGAGTGTAGCCTGAGTTTGGTCCTGATTTATTACTTCAACTTTAATTAGATTACTGTCATAAGAATCGGGCCTTCTAGCAATTTTCCCTGTACTTATAAAAAAAATACATATTTTACTGGTTCTGAAACTTGCTGCATTGTAGTATATTTTATTCCAGGTAAACACAGCACAGCATTTAGCGATAAGACGCAGAAAAATATATTCTGGAAGAATATCACCAAAGTCAAAATAAAAGATGTCGTGCAAGCGAGCATTGCTGATCAATAATTTTGAAATTTGTGTGAGCTTTGGCAGTCGACACGATAGAAAAAAAGTACCAACTTGGTCGATTGGATCAATAACATTAAGAGGGTAAAGTAAATGTGTTCCCACTAAGAAACGAATAATGTACGGATAAAGTGACCAAATGTTCTGCACTCTGCATATGTGCTCAAGTAATCTACTGTCAACGATGCCAGTTTCTTCCAATTGCTGCCATAAGTCTGCTACAGTACGATTTCTCGTGTGAGGTTCAGGCACGTTCACTAAAAACTTGAGAACATCTATCAGCAATTGAGGGTCACAAATGACGTATTGTCGAAGCACCTCATCACGACCTTTGTATATGATATCACCAGCTCTGTCAAAGAAGTTTAATAATTGAAACAACTCATCCTGTGAAATAATATTACACGTTGATTTGACTTCCTCTAAAATATCTACTAAACTCGTGATAATGCACTTTTTTAGGCGGAATTTGTTCAAAGTTTCATTGAATAAAAGGTATTTCACTGAAAATTCCTCCTGAAAAAATGGCATTTTTCTAATCTGATTATAAACAGCTACTCGCAACATATTGCGTTCTTGGTCTACCTGCAACGAATTTTCAATAACAAAGAAAAGGCTTCCAGAAGGATGAAACGCTAGTAACTTACTAAATTGTTTGTATAGATTTGCTTTTACAAGTTTGATAAAATCTAACAAAGCATTTGTGTCACCAACACTTTCTCGCCTTGTTCCTACAAGAAAGACAGCGACATTTTTAATATCTGCATGCACAGCAACAGATTGTAACCAGAAGTGTAGCCGCTTAATTTGCTTCTTTGGGTTCATAACCGCTTCAACGGCGTTGAAAACAACAAGATACACACCCTGTTTTGGCATGAATATGTGATGGGTGTTATAGTACATATCCTGTCCTGCAAAGTCCCATAAACTGAGTCTTGCGTCCAAATATGATTCATTCCGAATACATGCTTTCATTGACTGTCTGACATGATTTATAGGTATGGATGTTGTATTTTTCACTTTCATATATGCAAACCATTCATATAAAATAAATGCTATTATTGGAATGAGGAAGTGCAACAAGCAAAACAAATACCGGAGAATAAAGTAAGATTGGGTACTGTTTATGTTTAAAGTTTTAAATTCTACCAATTCCCACCCGCAAGCAACTGCAATAAAAATTCCTGCTATAAATCCTGTAGATTTCTTGATAATATAGTTTTGAGGGATATACCCAAAAGCAACAGATTTCCTTCCCAAAATTGCTCCAATTAATATAAAAATATTAATCACAGCTATACAAATAATTGTGAATATGCCAAAGGAATGTGGTCTTCCGACACAAACCGCAACTATGATAAAAATTATAACGCTTAGTTTTGCAGGTATGCTGTTCTTTCTTATTACATATAATATCTTAGCTTGAAGAAACCGAAATATCAAAATATTAATAACTGATACAAAGCAAATTATAAAATTATAATACGCTTTCCTGTAGTTGCCCAATATCATTTCTGCAACATTATCAAGGGTAAATGTTTTTTGTTTAGGATGAACCATTATACAGAATCCTATGCATACTCCAGTCCTACCACCTGTGCCTAAAAGCACGCCAGTAATTAATCCTGCTAATCCATACATAAAAAGTATAATGGCAGCGGACAGCTTGATCCATGTATCTAAATCAATGTATTGTATTTCCGTGTAAACTTTATCGATACTTAATGTGCTGTCTACAAGTACCAATCCGATAGTGATTGCGGAACCGAAGCGGTACGCAGTGTGGGTATCAAATATATACATCAAACAAAGAATATACATCCATACAACCAAACCAAATCCAAAAGTAAACCCGCCAATTAGAAACGTAATTATGATGGGAATCATTAGAGTTATCTGATAAATTATATCTTCAATAGGTTTTTCTAATGAGACACTTGAATTTACTTCCGGCGTGCTACAAACCTGCGTGGCTTTCTTCGTGTCACGTTTGCGCACGTGTGACACTGCCCACCATGATGCTGAACTTTCATAGTCCTCTAATGGGGTTGTTGATACTTCAAACCATTTACTGTTAACATCTGACACTTTAGCTTTGACTAATTTTGTTTCGATTCCTACTGTGCTGGGCTCGTCATGTCGAAAATCCTTTCCTTGCAAGCGTCTGCATGTTGATGTTTTTCCTACAGCGTGGTCTCCTAAAATTAGGATTTTAGACCTGTTAAAAGGAAGTCTTCCTCTTAGTTTTGCCTGTTTGTAGGCTGATTCAATCTCCTTATCGTCTGCAATTACACGCAAATTAAAACTGCGTTCATATGATGAATGAAAGCCACGAAGATAGCTTATTTCTTTCTCATTCATCTTGATGTAACATATTCACCGTTTCTTTACACCTTGCTTCGAATCGAAGAGATTTTACTGTATATAAGTAGACTTAATTATAGATCTGTAGATATAAAAAAAGGAAACTTTTATCTATCTAATTTTAGTATAGTATTATGAAAAACCAACATACAACAATGATAGTATTGTTATTACATTTTTTTTTCTTTTCGGATAAGGACTTCAAATGGAGGTACATTTACACATCTGGTTGGTGTGCATTTTAAAGAACCCATTGTGTCCTTCGGAAGAATCGAGGGTTACCACGATGCTATGGTAGCAGTGGAGTTGTCCATTCATGATTAATCAACGTTTACACAAGGTTTTACATTTTTGGACCGAATTAAAAGCTTTTACAACACCAAATCTACAGCTGATGTTATCATTTGGGCAAGAGATCGCCAGCGTCGGAAGCTCTTGACCACCGGAACGTGTATCACTTATGGTACTTACAGAAGAAGTAATGTGAAAATAAAGCTCATGATAAGCGCCTCTTAAGCGGATTGGTGGCAAGGGCCGGCCACGCCCCTGTTCAAAATGAATTGCCAACAAATTTATTGTGATATTTTATATGCGATTTTTGGCAACCTAGAGATCTAATTATTATGTGCGAAAATTGGAGGAAATATTACCGCTAGGTGGCCGGAAATGAAACTCTTATAGTAAAATTTGTCATTATTACATCACCATTGTAGTGAAAATGAAGCACCAACAACTTTCTCATTATCTTTTATCAGCGGTTGTTTCGGCAATCACAGAGATCTAAATATGTGTTATGTACCATAGAAACTAAAAGTTAAAAAAAATCTTTGATGTATTTACTTTACCTACTTCAAAGATGTGAGTTCACACCTTGGGGTGCGAACATTTGGTGATAGTACTTCTAGATGGCCGGAAATGACACTCTTATATAGTAAAATTTGTCATCATTACATCAACCATTATGTTGAAAATGAAGTGCCAACGAATTTCTCATGATCTTTTACCTGCGATTTTCGGCTACTATAGAGATCTAATTAATATGTGTGATGTACCACAGAAAATAAAACTTTAAAACATTGTCTTTGATGTATTTACTTTACTTTACCAACTTCAAAGCCGTGAGTCCAAACCCATCTCTGCCCCACCAAGATTGGGGCTGACGCGCGAAAATATTAGGATTTTAGTAAATGTCATCATCATAACATCAATATGCTTTTTTATCAGCGATTTCCGGCTATTATAGGGATATAATTAATCTCTGTAGTGTATCATAAAAAATAAAATTTAATTCTCTTGGATGTATTTACTTTACTTTACCTATTTCGTGTGCCGAAAAGCGTATACTTCTCTCATACTTCTCAAATCATAACAAAAGCACGCGCACTCGAGTCGTGTACTATAGGTAATTCTGATGTTAGTACTGATACCTTTATCTTCCTATAATTTAAGATATACAGTACTTCTGTACTCAGGCTGTACAGCGCTCTTCGTTAAAACCTGGGTCATTAGGCAGTTCACTTAAAACATTTTCAGGCATCATTTTTAAATATGAAATTGGGTCCCCCATGATCTGCGCCCATGCTAATACCATCCCTCATAGACCGTCATCCTGGAAGCGAACACATTTTTACTTGGTTAATTTATAAATTAAAAGAAATAATGGAATGAGTTACACACCTGAAAGTTTCTTCTTTATCAACAACTATTATTGGCAGGTATATACGTACATGCATGATTTAAGGTTATCAGATCATTATTTAATTAGCTAACGAACGTTAATGATACCGGGGTCAAGTTTCCACAATTACCTACCGGTGTAGGCAATTGTGGACAGTACTTTTTTCTCGATGTATTGTGATATAAAAATACATTTTGGTATGTTATAACATTTCACATTAATGACACAAACCTGAATATTTACAATTTTTCCAATTATTTTAGGATTATTTTTTCTGATATTTTAAGAATGCAATTCAAATTCTACCCCTTCAGATAGTTTTTTTAAGATGTGAATCTATGTTATTTAGTTAATTAGACTAATCTCTTCTACAAGCATCGATGACCCTTTGCATGGTCGTTTCAGTGGTCCACAAGGCTCAATCCGTCATTAGCATACTGTAGTTCTGTGGAATCTGTAAAAATAAAAAAGATAGGGCCTATAAGTATAATAATTATTTTAATAGTAATATAATAACATAAATTAATACAATAACTAGCCTAACACTTTAGTTGTTTTTGTGAAAGGCCTAATACTAGAGGAAATTTTATCACACTGCCTTAATTAGTATCAACAATTTTTTTTTAGTCATTATAACCACACATAACCTTATTAATTTATACTGTACTAGTAATGTGCACATAAAAACTATTGCTAATTAACATTTCTGCAATTATCTAGGCATGTAGGTCTAATAATATTAACTTACTTAAATATATTATGATGTGAAAATGAACAACAATTAAAAACAATAATACAATTAGTCATATACGTACCTGTCTCTTATACACATCTAGATGTGTATAAGAGACAGGACAGTACTTTTTTCTCGATGTATTGTGATATAAAAATACATTTTGGTATGTTATAACATTTCACATTAATGACACAAACCTGAATATTTACAATTTTTCCAATTATTTTTGGATTATTTTTTCTGATATTGGGCAATTCCGTAAATTAGTAAACCAAATGGTAAAAAATTAAAATACATCAAATGTGTTTGTGTGATACATCATTTTGAAGCTAATGAGTTATATTTTTGTGAAATAAAAAAAAATTAAGAATTAACTAACCACATGGAAAATAATTAGAATTCAATACAATTAATTAATATTTTGAAATACTAAAGAAAATGTAGTTATAATTTTAATTTCCAGTTTTTTCCCTTGCAAAATATCAGAATCTGATTCACTTTTTATTAAAATAAAGAATTAGTATGTATTGTGTACTTTGGTGAAATTTTTTGACTTTTTGTAAATAACACCATATTTTTAATTAAATATTTAAAAATAATGAAAATGTGGATGTACGTCCGTCACAAGAAAATGGCATTTGTTTATTTCCTTTTCTAACCAGGTACAAAGAAATTACCTAAACTCTGTTATAAAGCATACTAGATATACCAAGTGTATACAGCAAATTGGAAGCCTACCATTAATTACACTAATTAGCAAAACCATGTGACAGACGTACATTTTTTTTGTACGTCCGTCACTGTACGTCACACTGTGTAAAATGTGTTATAACCTATGAAATATGGTGAAAATATGAAAACTGTCAATGTGTCTTGTGTCTGAAGTTACAGTAGGCTACATGTTGGGCACAAAACATAATGGAATAACATGGACAATTCTGGGTATGAGCCCCATACTTGAGTTTCTGGTCGAGATCAATTTAGACTTACTATAATTTTCCACCCTGAAGCACATTTTTTCGTATTGTTATCAAACAGTTTGCAATATGCACATATTTCAGTAACATGGGCTTACCTTACAAAAAAAAAAAAAATGAACTAAAATTTTATGCAAGTATCCAATAAAAACCAGGCAGGCAATACACAAATTACATATTAAATAATGTATCATCTTGACTAACACGGCTACTCTATCTACTTCATAATAACAATGTCCTGTAATTACAATTACAGCTAACATGATTATATTATTTTTTTACATTCAAATTACAGGATATTATTATAAATGTAAGATAAGACACCTTATTTAGCATGAGTAACCATACAGTCTACTTGATTAACTACAATTACTATGATTTTTCTTGTATTGCAAAAATGTATAGTTCTATGAATTACAGGTGTTTATAATAATCTCTAATTCCAGAACCTTTAAAATCTAAACTTGCCCATTGCAGGATTCTTTATACAATGAAGAAGTTGACACCAAAAGTTAAAACTTGGCCTAATAGATCGAGTACTGTACAGTATGTAGTCTTTCACTAGTTTAACTGTCTGCATTAAATTAATATAACAAAGTGCATTTTGGGAACCAAATAATCATTTTTCCTGCTTACAAATTTAGATCCAACTCCTTCATAATCTGTTTAAATGAATGTTCTGAACAAATTGACACCACAATTATCTGGCTACCACTAATGGCTACGGAGATATGAGAACCTGTGAATATGACCCGTAGATGTGTCAAAGGTCAGAAATGGCATGTCCTGTCATTTTTTAACAAAATATTCTATTATAGCAAATAGAAATATAAATGTTTTTGAACAACTTGGCACCAAACTTAACTCTCTACCACATGTGGTTGCGAAGATATAAGGGCCCTATTACTATAAATTTTGACCCTGACTTTTGACATTTTGCAACATTTTAAAAACGTGTTACCAAGCCAAAATGATTCTAGGGCCACCCTGAACCAATTTATGAAGTCAATATTCTCTTAATACCTCAAATGCATACAAAACATGGTCTGGCTACTACGGTAATGAGGTTAACTGAGGATTATTTGACACAAAATAACCTAAATTATTTGATTCATTGTATTTTACACTCATTATTAAAAAAAAGTTTAAAATCCAGTATATTTTTGTACTTTTGTATCATATAAGCATACCAGTATATTAATAGATGTGTATAAGAGACAGTTTGTAAATAACGCCATATTTTAAATTAAATATTTAAAAATAATGAAAATGTGGATGTACGTCCGTCACAAGAAAATGACATTTGTTTATTTCCTTTTCTAACCAGGTACAAAGAAATTACCAAAACTCTGTTATAAAGCATACTAGATATACCAAGTGTATACAGCAAATTGGAAGCCTACCATTAATTACACTAATTAGCAAAACCATGTGACAGACGTACATTTTTTTTGTACGTCCGTCACTGTACGTCCGTCACGCTGTGTAAAATGTGTTATAACCTATGAAATATGGTGAAAATATGAACAATTACAGTTACTCATCGTGTCCGTATTATGTACTGCTGATTATGTGTAACCAAGGATAATAACAAGTATCGTACAGTAGTGGAAAATGATTTATTGCATTCAAAATTTTTTTTTCAAGCATTAAATCTAACCTTCGTATAATAATTTTCCTATAATGTACTA